GGGGGTTCTCAGTTTTTTTGGTTGTTTTTTCTAGATCAGAGGTTTTGCCTTCAACATCTGAGATCTGATCTTCTTCATCTACTTTTAATACTTTCGAGGGAGGTTTTGATTTCCTGAATTGCAGCCTTCAATTTGATATTTCCTCTTTCAGATAGTGCAAGAATTTTCTTCCCTCCTGGAACTTGTTGTCTCTTTTTCTCCTGCGTGTTCTGGAGTTCATTGTCTCTCAGCTGTTGCATCTCATTTAGTCTTGTCACTATGAATATTCTGAATTCTCTATCAGACATTTCCACCAGTTCTACTGTACTTCTGTGAATGATGAAGGATTGTTCTTTTCACTTAGATGAGAGATTTTTTTTTTTGGTTTCTCATATTTCTTATGCCTCTGCGGTGGTTTCTGGTCATTCTGTGACAAAATCTTTCCTCCACTGTGCTTTGCAATGTGGTATCCACAGATAGAGATTATGAATTCATGCTTATAAAAAGAAATTTCTTCCTTAAAGCAGGAGGTTCAATAAGCATTGAGGATTTCAATAAATCTAAAAGTATTCAGATGCTTGGCTACTGCGTACCTATGTCTATCTAGATATTCTGTGTGTGGAAAGTGAAGAGCAGGTTAAATAAAAAAAAAAAAAAAAGCAAAAGGAAAAGAAAAAAAAAACTAAACAAAAACAACCAAAAAAAGAGAACAAAAAAGTTTTTATAAAGCTAAAAAATGAAAAAAATGAAAAAGTCTGGACTTTAAATGGCTTCTGAAATTAGCAAGAGAAAGAAAAAGCCTGAGGATAAGATAAGTGGTTTAAAAATTTAAAAAGAAAAAAAATCTAAAGAGAGAGAGAGAGTGAGACAGACAGATAGACAGAAACAGAGAAAGGATAGAGGTCTCCCTACCTTGTCTGCATATTTCGGTAGTCTAGAAGATGGAGTTTAGAGCATAGCTTCTGTGAACATGCCAGGGACACACCTCAGCTTTTTTTTTTTTTATTAGTATATTTTTAATTAATTCATTAGTTTTTAAAATTTTATTTTATTTATTATCATAACCTTTTTTATATTATATTGAATCACATATATCTTTACACATCTCAGCTTTAAAATGGCTTCTTGTTGGGCCCAGGAGTTAGTGTAATGGCTATGTCACTGGACTCCCATGTAGTCGACCATGGTTTGAGTTCCTGACTGGTGGCTTAAACTCATGCCAGTCACATGTGCGTGCGTGGCCAAGATCCCGAGAGGAGAATGAATGCGGCATGACCATCCCCCCTGGGGGGTGATTTCTCGCTTTCTGTCTCTCTGTCTGTCTCTGTCTTTCTGGCTAATGCACGTGCCCTATAGAAAAAACCTCTCCAAAGCAAGGAAACAAACAAACAAACAAACAAAACCCCCAAAATGGCTTCTTGTCTGAGTATTTTGGGAGCCTAGAAGATGGGATTTAGAGCATGTTTTCCTGAACGTGCCAGGACACACCTCAGATTTAAAATGGCTTCTTGCCTGCGTATTTCAGGAGTCTACCAGTTTGGTGAGTGTTGACAGTTGTATATACCTGGCGATCATTGCCACAAATAAGATAGGAAGTATTTCCATGATTTTCCTAATATTATTTATGTATCTTTTTAGTTCAACCCTGTGATAACTGCGATCTGCAGGCAGCCACTGACCTGTTTTTTTGTCACCATAATTTACTTAGAATGTTATGTTCTTAGTAGAATTTCATGTGGTATATATAGTGCATACTTTTATCTGTCTTGTTTTGTGCAACAGAATGAGTTTGTGATTTGTCCATGTTGCAGTGTTTTGCATTGCTGAGAAGTATTTTATTATATAATTTATCATTTAGTCAATAGCAAACTTCCTTGATTATTGTCACTTCATAGTGAAGCTTGAACTTAGGTAGAGTTTTTTGTTGTTGTTCTTTTTTTTTTTTTTTTTTTTTTTTTTTTATTATAGGGGGGGTGGGTTCGCCCGAAGAGCGCGTGCACTCGCCAGACAGGCAGAGAGACAGAGAGACAGAAAGCGAGAAATCGCCCCCCAGGGGGGATGGTCACGCCGCAATCCCTTCTCCTCCATTCTCCTCTCGGGATCTTGGGCACGCACGCACACGCGCCCAGCGTGAGTTTTAAACCACCGGGTCCGGATCGCGAACCATGATCAGCTACGAGGGAGTCCAGCGACATAGCCATTACGCTAACTGCTGGTCCCTGTTGTTCTTTTTAAAAAATTGTTTTGGTTACCTAGGTTTGTATCCCCATGCAAATTTTAGAATCAAATTCTCAATTTTCACAAAAAACTTATTGTATTTTGATTGAGGCTAAATTTATAAACCAATTTGAGGAGAATAGGCATTTTAACAATATTGAGTCTTCCCAGCCAATGAGATATTTTGCTTCATAGATAGTTAATTCTGCTCTCATAAAATAAGCTTGGAAATGTTTCCCTCCTTATTGACTTTCTGAAAGCATTTGTGTGTAAGATTAGAATTAATTTTTCCTTACATAATTTTTAAAAATTTGTCAGCATAGCCAATATGATGGGAAGATTTTTCTGACAATAAATTCAGACTCTAAAGATGTATGATTCCTCAGATGATTTGTTCTATTTTTAACTGCCAGAGCGAGTGTATGTTTGCATATATGTATGCATGAGAGAGAGAGAGACTATCTCCCAGTAGAGCAAGGTCATGCTGCAATCCTTTTTCCTCCATTTCTCTGTCCTGTCAGGATTTGAGGCACACACCCACAAGTGTCAGCATGTTTTCTAAGTCACCTGGCTGGGATTTCAGCTGAGATTGACTGTATAGTAGTTGGTTCCCAATATGCTGTGCTTACCTGTTGAGCTGTAGGGCTGGCCCAATGTATTTATTTTTTAAAAAGCTTTGGGACCAGCAGTTGGTATAATGGGTATGTCACTGAGCTCCCATGTAGTCGACTGCGGTTCAAGTCCCAGACCCGGTGGCTTAAACTCATGCCGGGCATGTGTGCGTGCGTGTCCAAGATCCTAAGAAGAGAATGGAGGAGAAGGGATTGCGGCATGGCCATCCCCCCTGGGCAGTGATTTCACAGTTTCTGTCTCTGTCTCTCTCTGTCTTTCTGGTGAGTCCACGTGCCCTATAGCAAAAACCTCTCCAAAAAAAAAAAAAGCTTTGAATGCTGTTATCTTTCAGTGAATTTGGCCATTTCATCTATGTTACCGAATGTTTTAAAAAGTTTGTTTTTCTTCCATGAGTGAAAGAAACAGAGAGCGGGACAGAGAGAGAGACAAAGATACAGCACTCCCAAAAGTGTGCTGATGCTGCTATCTGCCCCTCTGCCAGCTTTGGTTTGAGGCCATGCATGTACCTGACATACTCGGGGAGGGTGATAGGCTCACAGCACTGGACCTAGACTTAGGTTAGGTCTGGTACTGAGTGGGGGCGTCCCATGTGGTCCTGGCCTGTGGGGCCCGGCATCTCAGTAGCCCATGTCACGTTGACGGTGCCTGTTTCTTCTTCATTGATTAGCACTAAAGGTACTAATTTTTCTGTAAATACTGCATTTGCTGCCTATCAAATGTTGGCATGCTGTATTATTATTTTTTTAAATTTGCCAGAGGGTGCATGTGTTTGCAAGGGGGACAGAGAGAGAGAGAGAGAGAGAGGGAGAGAGAGAGAACACTCTTATGCCATAAACCCTTCCTCATATATCCTTGATTTTGAAATTTGGGGGCATGTACACACATGTGCCCAGCATATTTTGCAAGCTGCCGAGTCTGGGACTCAAATCCTGTAGCCAGCCATGTGAGATCCAGTCACCTTAACCCCTAGACTGCAGGCTGGCCCAGTATATTGTGCTTTTATCATCATCTAGTCAAAATATTCTCTAATTTCCTTATGCATTTCCTTTTCTGCCAAAGAACTACTTAGAAATATGTTTGATCTCCAAATATTTGGTATTAAAATATTACGGTTAATGTCCAACTTAATTCTGTTTAGGTTGGAGGATATCTTTTGTATGATTCAGTTATGTAGTTTTTTGAGACTTGTTTTGTGGCCTATAATGTGGTCAAACGAAGTGATTATGCCATGAGTGTTTGAAAAGAATGTGTATTCTGCAGATGCTGGTTTACTGTCAATGAACATCAATTAGGCCAATGCCGTTAATATTATATCAGTTGCATAAAAGATTTGGTTCCAAAGTCGAATCTATAAAATGAGGTATATTTACAGGCATCTTATTTTTATTCCTGTCCCATTTTATACTTTCAGTTTTGAAATTATAAGCACAAAAAAAACCCTAAACACACACACACACCGCACACACGCACACACGCATTCCTCCAGCCTGTCTTACGTAAGTGGTAGTGTGCTATGTGCACTTTCATCTCTCTGTTTCTGTCACTTGACGATGTATTGTGAAGAGCACGACATGATAGTTTATAGAGCTTTTCCTCACTCTTTTTAAAGAGTTTTATTATACTTCATTTTGTGTTTAGTGAATCAGCCCCCTGTGAATGAATATTTGGGTTAATTCTGAAAGATTTGCTATTACAAACATGATTGTAATGCATAGCCTTGTGCACATTTTCTTCTCATACCCTGCCTGTGTATCTTTGGGATACATTCCGAGAAGCAGAACTGCTGGGTTAAAAGGAAACTGCATGCGTAACTTTGCTATATTGCCAAATTTCCCTCCATCCAGGTTGCAACATCTTTCATTCCTATTGGCAGTTTAGAGGCATGCCTATCTCCCCGCAGTCTCGTCAGAGATTTAAAGCAGGATGGTGGTGAGGGGCACCATGGGCCTAAAGCACGGGATGGCTGAACAGGTGGGGAGAGTGGGTCCAAGTTCAGTCCAGGGAGAATTTCACTAGACAATTGCTGTGCTAATTTTGTTTTTCATTCATAATGTATGTGCTCATTGGCAACTGCAACCCAAATATGACCTGAAGAATGTGAGAAAATGTGACTGTAACTAGGAGTCAGATCTATTGGTGTGTATTTCTCCCTACCATGCATCTCTTTTCAGAAGTGGAAGGTGCTGTTCAACAAAGTAACTCATTAATGTCACAAACAAGGAAGGACAACAGCACTTTAGGTAACATTTCTTTCTTTTCTTTATCTTTTTGAAAAGTATTTGCCATAGGGCACATGCGCTTTCCAGGAAGAGAAAGAGAGACAGAGACAAAGACAGTGAGAGGGAAATTGAGAAATCATTCCTCTTTTTTTTTTTTTTGGAGAGGTTTTTGCTATAGGGCGTGGACGCTCGCCAGACAGACAGAGAGAGACAGAGAGACAGAAAGCGAGAAATCACCCTCCAGGGAGGATGGCCACGCCACAATCTCTTCTCCTCCATTCTCCTCTCGGGATCATGGGCACGCACACACACATGCCTGGCGTGAGTTTAAGCCACTGGGTCCAGGACTCGAACCGCAGTCGACTACGTGGGAGTCCAGTGACATAGCCATTACGCTAACTGCTGGTCCCACAATCATCCCTCTTAGGGGATGGCTATGCAGCCATCCCTTCTCCATTCTCTTCCTAGGATTTTGGGCACACATCCATGCATGCCTGGCATGAATTTCAAGTCACCATATCTGGGACTTGAACCATTGTCAACCATGTGGGAATCCAGTGCCTTAACCACCATGCTACCTACTGGCCCCAAGTAGCATTTCTTTGAATGATAATGGCCATACAGTCTTTATATGAGAGAAAGGAGGAATATTTCATAGGGTCTTGTGTATTGCAGTCCTTCTACCCCAGCTTCCCAGTTAGCCAGGATTACGGGTTTGTACCACCAGGTATTCAACCTGTTTAGGTTAGTCTGGGAGCTGAACGTGGTCCTTCTGTATGGCCCCAGCCTTGTGCAATGACACCTTACTGCTTTCATCACCACAAATGGATCACATATAGTTTTTACATTTTAGGATCTTGAATGGCTTATGTGTAATTATAGACTATATTATCTAATGACATTATGTTTAAAGATATTGTTAAATTTTTCATTCTCAAAATATTTCTATACTTATTTAACAGCTATTTAAAGAATGTGGTCACTAAGCAAACTCATGATATATCTAGATTTATTTTTGAGAGAAATTTTTACTATAGGGTGCATGTGCTCACCAGAGAAATAGACAGAAAGCAAGAAATCACCCACCCCCCCCACCCCCAAGATGGAATGGCCATGCTCCAATCCCTTCTCCTCCATTCTCCTCTCGGGATCTTGGACACATGCACACATGTGCCCAGCATGATTTTCAAGATGCCCGGTCTAGGACTTGAACCACAGTCGACTATGTGGAATTCCAGTGATGTAATCATTATGCCATCTGCTCGTCCCTCTAAATATCTTTAAATTCAATTATTGAAACACAGATTGGTTACTCCAGAGTAGCTTTTAAAAGGCAAGTCTTAACAGGAATTAGTGATTTATGTTCTGTATCTTCTACCTCAAGTCCTTATTTGTCATTAAAATAAACTTTTAAATTAAAAAAAAAAATTAACAGGAGCCCACTGTGGTGACGCAGTGGTAACAAAACACTGCAACACTGGACCCACATGGAGGGTCCCAGGCTGTGTCCTGAGGATTCTGTGTGTCTTCTGGGACCGTGCACGAGTGCCCCCATGTGGACTGACTGAGGCTGCGGGTAGATCACTGCGTAAAGATGCTGTTGGGGGATTTCTCTCTCACGTGGAAAAAATAAATGAACTCAAGAAATACAAAGAAGATAATATTTAATAGTCTTTATTTTTAAGAGCAGTAGTAAGTTCATAGTAAATTGAATGGGAAGTACAGACATTTCCCATATACCTCTTCCTCTACAAATGCAGGATTTCCCCCATTATCGACATTCTGTACTAGAGTGGTATATCTGTTATAATTGATGAATTTACATCGACACATCATTATTATCACCCAAAGTCTGTAGATTGCATTAGCGTTCACCCTTGGTGTTAGATATTTATGGGTTTCAACAAATGTACAATGACATGTGTCAGTCGTTCTGTAATAGCATCGCGCGGTGCAGTTTTACTGCCCTAAAAATCCTCTAGGTTCCACTTAATTTATTCTTCCCTCCTTCTAGCCCTTGGAAACTTCTGATATTTCATTGTCCCTGTAGTTTTTCTTCTTCCAGTGTTATGTAGTTTAAATAGTTGAATATGTAGCCTTGTCATATTGGCCTCTCTCACTTAGTAATACGCATTTAAGGCTCCTCCACGTCTTGATAGCTCATTTCCTTTTAGTACTTCATGATGTTCCATTGGGTGTATGTACATAGGTTAATTATCTATTGCCTGCTAAAGGACAGCTAACCCTAATCCTAACTCTAACTCTTAACTTCCTGAAGATACGTGTATATTATGTGTATTAGGTAAAGTGTGTATTATGAAACAACTATACATAAATTTCAATTTTTTGCACCAGAATAAACTCTTACTAAATTCCATTTTCTGTGAACTTTTTGAAGTGCATGCATATCAACACACATAATCATTTTCATTTTTGCTATAATGATTTTGTATAAGCTACTATTTGTTAGATTAATTAAGAATAAGAAAGATAAATTTTATTTGACCTTCATTTGTTTTTTTCTCCAATGCTCTACCTTTCCACAGATAGACCTAACTTTCTGACCTATGTCATTTTCCTTCTCTGTAAAGAATTTCTCTTAACATTTCACATTGTCTTCCAAGGTAGGTTTATTGGCAACAAATTCACTCATTTTTGAAAATCTTCATTTGTTTTTCACTTTTGAAGAATAATTATGTAGTATATGAAATTCTAGGTTGCTGAGTTTTTCCCTCTCAACATTAAATATTTCCTTTACTTCTTCTTGCTAGCATCATTTCTAAGAAGTTGGGTATACTATTATTTTTTACTCCTTTTTAGATAAAATTCCCCCTCCCCGGAAAAATATTTTTTTCTCTTTTTTGAGTTTTTGTAGTTTGAAAATGATATTCTTAGGTGTAGCTTTTTCAGCAGTTATTTTGTTTGGTGTTTTCTGAGCTTTCTGGATCTGTGGTTTTGGTGTTTGATCTTAATTGGGGAAAAATTCTCAAGCATCCTTCTTTCTTTTTCATTCTTCCTTTCTTTCTCTTTCTTTTTTCTCTTTTTTCCTTCTTCTTTCTTTCTCTCCTCTATTTCTTTCTCTTCTGTTCTTTTCTTTTCCTTTCTTTTTTTCTTTTCTTTTTTCTTTTCTTTTCTTTTCCACTACATACAATGGCTTTTCTGAAACAGAGTTTGAAGTAGATTTTGACTACCCTGATTGTAAAAACTCTATGGAATTCTGACAAAAGAATGCATGTGACTGTCAGGAACTGTGGAATTAGAAGAAGAACTAGGTGAAGACTCTCATCTCAAGTCCTCTCTGTTTCTGCTTCATTTTTACCATTTTTCTTTTATAACCAGAAAAAATAGGGGAAGAGGAGAGATATATGAACTCTTCTCAGTTCTGATTCTAAAATTCTTGAGAAAGGACTTTGTCCTTCTGAGTTAGGTGCCCACCACTGGACCCAACAACTTCAACTTGGAGGAGGCATATAGAGAAAGGATTATAATCAGACAAGATGATTTAAGGTGACCACACTGGACCAATCCATTGTGGCTAGAGAAAGAAGATGGAGTGGAAGCAGGATTACATTGTACACAATTGTTAACAAAATAAAGTGTTTCCTAAGTGAGAAATAGCTTATAGATGCTATCTTCAAGACACGTAACATGTTTTTTTTTTTTTTCCTTTTATGATGGCATAACTCTCATTTCCATTTTGTATCACTTTAGTTATGGCTGTTTGTTACATTGAATATACCTTTGTGAAAAAAATTACTTCCACTCTATTTCAGTATATCACATTGATTTTATTTACTCCTGTTTATATTTTCAGCTTTAAATAGTTCCTGTACAAATGGAAAGGAGACAACATTGAATAATTCAGTACCTCCAACAGAAGGTAATATGCTTCTTATCTATCGGCCAGCAATTAGGGGCTGGAGATTTGAGCTTTGTTAGAAACATTAGCTGATGGCCTAGCTGAAGGCCAGCCTTGTCTAGTCTAAAGATTATGGTGATCTGAGTACTGAAGCAGAATGGACTCTGAATGACCCGACCACTAGTTGTTCACAAGCCTCGTTCTTGCTCGCCTTTAAACTTTTGTCATATTGGAGCAATGGAAAGGGTGAGGATTTAACTGCCTCTCAGATCTGAATTAAAGTATTACCTCTTTCTTCATCTAGTTATGTGATCTTTATTTGGACATGAAATGTGAGGGCATGAGTACCTCAGATGAAATAGGTGAAATAACATAGGAGAGGAAAAGATTAAATGCAGTTTAGCAAAAACAAACTTCATCAATGTGAAAAGTTTGCCAACCTTAGCTGGTTCTGCTCGTGTTACAATGGCACCATTGACACTTACCTCTGTTATAGGTGAGTTGTGATAGATACTTTGGTTGACCAGTTACCTCTCAGCAAACCTCTAGTACGGCACGTTATGTTAATTTATGGGAAGCATGAGGTTCTATGTTAGAGTGTGTTCATAGGTTGCAAGTCTTCATTTTTATTTTAAAAGATGATCAAAATTGGTCAACTTTTATATTTAATCCTGATAATTAGTTTGAACATCGAGAAACACAATCTGTGAACAAATTTCACAGCTAAACTATTTCAGAGTATACATATGAGTAACTAGACACCCAAAGACTATATTTGATAATATCATACCCTCATGGAACTTGATTCTAAGATCTGTAAGCAATGAGAAGTGAAAGGAGCGGGAACCAGCAGTTAGACCCCCCCACGTAGTCAACCGCAGTTCGCGTCCTAGACCTGGTGGCTTAAAACTCACGCCGGGCGCGTGTGCGTGCATGCCCAAGATCCCAAGAGGAGAATGGAGGAGAAGGGATTGCAGCGTGACCATCCCCCCTGGTGGGTGATTGCTCGCTTTCTGTCTCTGTGTCTCTGTCTGGCGAGCACACGCGCCCTATAGCAAAAACCTCTCAAAAAAAAAAAATATATATATATATCCTAGAAGTGAAAGGAGCAGATCCTGAAGAGAATAAATTGTGTCATTTATGACAATTTCCTTATGAAAGCCATTATAATTTTGTCAGGTGAACTATGGTCAACCTTTTCAGATGCAGATGAAAGGATGGCATCTGGTGGGGGGACAAAAGCAGAAATTAGGGATTTGATGTCCTCAGCTTCAGTGGGACCTGATCATATATCCTCATGTCAATTTTCAGGATCCCATTTCTTTCCATTGCTTATCCTCTGTTATAGTGACAATACCCTACAAGGTGAGGAATTCAATTTGTGATTCAACCATTTGCAGGGTAAAGTTTAATCATCAGAAATCTTAGTATTGATGTCACAACCATTTCTTTTAGGACAGACACAGAAAATTTCAGGACATTTATTCAGAACTTGAGCTGGAAATACGACATCCAGGACTTACCCATTCCTGCACTCACCCCACTTTGTCCTTTGTAGTTAGGAGAAACCAACCAATCTCATTATGCTAAGATATTCAAATACACCCCAAACTTTGCCTTTTATAAGTATTTGATTTGGTATATCCAAAGGTGATACTTTACATATCCCTATTACACTTTATGCTATGCATTATCAATGCCCATTTTACCACTAGAAATTGCATTACTAGTGATTTTAAGTATAACATGATTAGAAAGCTAATTTATGAAAACCCAAAGCCAATTCAGAAAACTGACCCTTAATATTCTGTTCCTCTAGACCTATTCATGTTACCAAGATCTGTATCAGGGTCCTAACACAGAAACATAACCAGTGGGAAAAATATATATATGTATATGTGTATATACAATGTGTATATACACACATATGTGTGTGTCTCTGTATTCAAGGAGTGGACGTATGCAATTGTGGAGGCTACATTTAACATGTATATGGTGGGCTGGCAATCTGGAAACTCTTGGACAGAAACTATTACTATAGTCTTAAGGCAGAATTTTTTTCTTGTTCAGAAAATCCTTAGTTTTATTCTTAAGATCTTACAACTGATTGGAGAAGTCCATCTGCTTTCTTGAGGGTAATCTCTTTTACTTTAAATCAACTGATTATCGATATTAATCACATCCACAAAATACTTTGCCAGCAATAATGAGATTAGTGTTTTATTGAATGATTGATGTAGCCAAGGTGACCCATAAAATGAACTCTCACAGGGCAGGCAGTGATGCAGTGGTGACATAACCGACTCACACAGGGAAGGTTTAGGTTTGATGTCCCAGGACCTTGCTGAACTTGCTGGGCTCGTGCTTGCCCCTCATTCGGGTTGGCTGAAGCTGGGAGTGGATCATGGCATAAAAACCCTGTTGGGGGTAACTGTATCTTTGTCTCTCATGGAAGAAATGAGTAAAATGAAAAAAAAAATAGCACTGCCATAGGGGGATACACATTCCTTACTGTTACACGTGGGTATTTACCAAGGTAGACTATATAGTGAGCCATGAAACAGGTCTTGATGAATTTAAACTCATCCAAGTAATTAAAAACAAAATGTCCACTGTATTGAGATCAATGAAAGAGCTCATGGTTTCCTGATCCCTTATCATCTTTGGCTTTGGAGGGTTTCCTTTACTGTTTTTCCAAGTTCAGCTACATGTTTGAAACAGGAATTTTTATATCTATTCAGCAATACGAGGTAATTTTACTAGGGTCATTTCCATAACAGGAAAACAATTCTAGGTAATATTTTTTTTTCCACAATAGGAAATTCTTTTCCATAATAGGAAAACAATCTAGGTAATTTTATTAGGGTCTTTTCCATAAGAGTTTTGGGAATGGAAATCCACCCTTGGACACCGCATTGTGAACTCTTCCACTCATTAGAAGTGGGAGTGACTGTCAAAAGACTAGAAGGGCCTGATCTGGATGCGTCATTTATTCATAATTGTGTATAAGGAATTTAAAAATCTTGATATGCATGTGTTTACGTAGTTACAGTAGTTGTGAAGACTTTCATAAAAAGATTGATGCTTTTTGCGTGTGGTTATTAATTTAAAGAGTTGAATTTTTGTATGATTATCTTACATGAAATCAGGAACCTCCACTCATTTCAGGAAATCTCTTTTCTTAATTTTCTCTATATTTCTTCTCTAAATTTCCTTTCAGCTTTTTATAATAATTCATCTCTGACAACACACTCGGAAAGTCCAAAGCAAAAAATGGTTTCTGCTGAAGGTAAAGTGCTCATTTAATCTTAATTGATTTTGTTTGATAGTTGGGGGGAGAGAGTTGGACCAGTAGAAGAAATATTTATTTTATTGTTTTCCTGTGAATAATTTTTTTAAGGCTTTTGCCATAGGGCATGGCATGTGCACTTGCGGGATAGAGTCGGAGACAGTGATAGGAAAGTGAGAAATCACCCTTCCAGGGGAATGGCAATGACGCAATCCCTCCTCGGTCTCCTCCTGGGATTTTGGGCACACATGCACACACGCCCAGTGTGATTTTCAAGCCACCAGATCTGGGACTTGGACCATGTTAGACATGTGGAAGTCCAGCACCTTAGCCACTGGTTACCTGCTGGTTCTGTTCTGTGAGTAGTTTTCATAGACACTCCTTTCTATACACTGTTGCTTGAGATCATGCAAGGACCTACTTGGCTAATTTAATTCAACAATAATAACAAAAACCCAAGATAAGCTATAGATTTCTTACCAATACAGAGCAACATGCTTGGTAAAATAGAAGCTACAAAGGTGAAGAAAATCTACGCTATCTTTAAGTAGTATATATAGTCTAGTACTGAAGGTGGACTGAGACTCCGGGTACTACATTACAAGGTGTAATAGAAGATTGCTATAAACAAAATCCATGTATTAGAGAGTGTGGCTTGTGAGCCTGCCCAGAACCATGAATGATGAGAAAAGAAGGCTGGTGAATCATTGTGGTCTAAAGTACAAGGGAGAAAGATACTCGAATGTTTGACCGGTGGAAGCAGCCTGGGGCGGCAGGAGGTTAGTAGGCAGGCTAAAAGCAAGGAGAGGTGAGCCTAGAAAGTCAAGCTGTGGTCGAATAGTGCAAAGTCATAGGAAGGGTAATAATAAGGTCAAAGGCAAACTGAATGGGCTAAAAAATGTAGAAGGACAGGGTTTATTAATAATTCTAAGGACTGTTTTTTTGATGGAAAAAAAGAGTATTCTAAATAGGAATTAAAGGGAAATCACAGGTCAGATAATGGCTCATCAGTAAAATGCAATGCTCTGTGAGGCAGTTCCATATGAGAAAGTTCTGGTTCAGGTCTGGAGACCACCCTGAGTATGCTGGGCATGCACTTGCCTATGATCAGGGTCTGGTTAAAGTCTTTCTCTCTCCCTTTTTCTTGAATTCTCTCTCTATCTTTCCCTCTCTTGTGAAATAAATAAATAAGTAAGCTAAAAACAAAAAAGAAAACAGGAATATACAATATATGTCTGGAGAAAATTGATATAAAATAACAAATATAAAATTAACATAATTGCTATTGCTAAGATTTGATTTTTAGTACTGAGAATAATATTAACAGAAATATATAAAATAACATAAATACAAAGGAGTATTTTGTATAAATCTCTGTTAATAACAGAAAAATTTGATGGAACAAATTCTCTAGGGTAAACTAAATTACCAGCTTGGCTCTAGGAAGAGATAGAAACATGAATAGGTCAATAACCAGAGGAGACACTGAAAGCTACTGCCAGAAAGTGCATGGCCTCCAACCGCTACGTAAGAGGAGTATTTTATGTTCTTTAAGCTTTAGAAATTTTTAAAAAGAATTATTTAATTTTATTCATTGTCATTATTTTATTTTATTGAGGTTGACCAGAGAGAGAGACAGACAGAGAGAGAGAGAGAGAGAGAGAGAAGGAAAGTGAGAAAGCAAGTTGCCAGGTCTGGGACTCGAACCACGGTCAACCATGTGGGAGTCTAGCCACCTTAACCACCATACCATGTGCTGGCTCCAATGTCCTTTAAGCTTTTGAGAAAAATATAGTACTTATGCTGTTTATATTATTGTGTACTTAGACAAAGGAGAAATGCTATGTAAATTTTTGTAAGTATAGTGCTGATACACGATCCTGAGAAAGTTAGCATATAAAAGTATTTCTTTGCTAATCTCTCCTATAAATGTATATACTAAGACTCCATATATAATGTTAGCATATTAAATCTATAGTATTCTTAACAAATAAAACCAAAGACAAAACAATATTTCCAGAGAGGCAAAATAGTTTATATTAAACAACCTATTTTACCTTATTATTTTATTATAGTAGGAAAAAATATCTCATGAACTATTCAGTATATATCATAAAGATGAACTAAAATTTATCAATTCACAACTTAAAAATATCTTAGTGAATTAGTATAAAAGATACACCCATAATTTGATAGAAATTTCCATATACATAAACAATAATCTTACCATGCTTAATGGTGAAACATCGAAATTATAGCCATTAAAGCCAGGAATTAGACAAAAATGTCTGCCATTACCATTATGTTATATAATTTTAGACAGTAGACAAGAAAGATACATGAGCATGCGCATACACACACACACACACACACACACACACACACACACATACATCTATATATTGTCTTAGCTCTGGCTACCATAATAAAATATGACAGAAGGTTGTCTTAAACAACAGAAATGCATTTTCTCACAGTTACATAGGGTAGAAGCTCATGATCAAAGTTCCAGCCAATACTCAGGTACAGGGAGAGCTCTCTGCCTACTTGGTGATGGCCTCTCTCCAGAGATGTCCTCACATGGCCTCTCTTTGATACATGAACATGGAGGGAGGAAGGGAGGGAGGTCTCTGGAGTCTTTCTATAAAGACACTAGTCATACTAAATTAGGGACTCACTCTACTTCCCTGTGACCTAATCTTAAGTAATTCTATTTAGAACATCCAATTTTCAAATAAGTCACATCCTGGGGTTCTGGGGTCAGGACTTCAATGTATGAATTTGGGGTATGCACTGTAACTCAAGAGTTACCAAACTGTATCAATAGCCACGTATTCTACATACACACATTGCCAGTTTCATGTAAAAAGTCCTTGATTAATCAGGAAAATTAGTGAGTTTATTCCATCTCAATCCTTGAATATACCATCTTTTAGTACTCTACGTGATCAAATTGAAAATACATACAATACTATTTGTTACATATTCAAGCATGACTGTTATCTTGAGCAAAAGCACTTGTATCAATTGAGTGAGTTGTTAAGTTAAACTAGCTTCAACTATATTTTTATATCTAGGTTGGTAAAATATTCAAAATAAAGAAGGGTTTTATGTAGTTTTAAATAAGACTCAGTTAAAGGAATTGACATGTAGAAGTTTTCTTGTTTTTTAATCATTTTCCTTCTTTTATTGTGTCCAGTTGATATTCCACTCTTCGTGCTGATGAATTCGAAGGCCGTGCTCTGTTGCCCTCCTGTCTCACGGACGTATATGATAGGGGCGACATGGGAAATAATTCTCAGAGACAAGCCTGCCTGCATAAAAGCCTACAAGGCAGATAGCAATGAGACCAAGGACGTCAACTGTACTGACAGGAGAATAACCTGGGTCTCCAGACCCGATCAGAATCTTAGCCTTCGAATCGATCCAGTGTCCATTACACATGATGGGGATTACAAATGTGAAATTGCAGCATCTGAAGGGAATTTCCAGTGTGGTTATCACCTCCAAGTACTGGGTAAGGAACGTCATGTACTGCAGTATTTTAGATCACCAGATTTGTGACTGAAATGTCTCTAAATTCTGTAACTCTAATGTTAAAACCGAAGTATTTCCCTCCCTTTATCTCTGCAGTGCCCCCTGAAGTGACCCTGGTTTCAAGTAAAAACAGGACTGCAACATGCAAGGCAGCGGGGGCCAAGCCAGCCGCTCAGATCTCCTGGACCCCAGAGGGGCACTGCATCACTGAGCAAGAACATCTGGACAATGGCACGGTGACTGTCCAGAGCACTTGCCTCTGGTCAGACAGCAACGTGTCTGCTGTGACCTGCTCGGTCTCCCACTTAGCTGGCAACAAGACTCTGTCTGAAGAGCTGAATCCTGGTTAGTAATTCTTCTAATTTTGGTTTGATTTGTCTTATTCTTTAAGAATAATAGGTTAAGAAGGAAAAAAGAGTGTACAGAGAAATTTCCTTCAAGGATGCTCTCGCTAGCCTGAATTTTATCTTTCCTTTTCTCTCCCCAAAATAAAGAGATACATACAGGAAAATAATGTGGAAGTTTACTATTAAAAGTTGTATCTTGGGATATGATGTATTCTATTTTGTATGTTTACTTGTAGCAGTAAATTGACTTTAGTAGTGTACTTTTTAAAAAATATTTTCATTTAAATTTATTCATTTGTTTATTTCAATTTGACGAGAGAGAGAGAGAGAGAGAGAGAGAGAGAGAGAGAGAGAAGGAAGTGAGAAAGCAAGCTGCCAGGTCTGGGACTCAAACCACCATCAGCCATATGGGAATCCAGCACCTTGAACCACCATGCCATCTGCTGGCCCCCTAGTGTACTATTTAGAGAAAACAATTTTATTAGAATGATTAATTCACTCATACATTGCCTTTGTGAATATTTAGTCTTGTAAAATTTTCTGCCCCACACTTTTGCTAGTAGAATTTCTTCAATGTCTGATAGTGATATCTGTGATTTAGTTTACCACTGTTTAGTTTCTTCCCTTTCTGCTCTCATCATATTTCCGTGTCTTGTTATTTTTTAAAAACTAGAATTATTCTAACAAAACACATAGTTTAATGTCAAATCATTCTATAAGTGTCTAATAAAAATATTAACTCTTTTTTTTTTTAAAGAATTATGTTATTTAACTTTATTTATCTTAATTTGACCAGAATGGGACAGAGTGAGAGTGAGAGAGAGAAAGTGAGAAAGCAAGCTGCCAGGTCTGGGACTCAAATTGCAGTTGGCCATGGGGGAGTCCAATGCCCCAACCACCATACCACTTGCTGGCTGCCTAAATATTAACCCTTTCTAATCCCCCCTGTTCTATCCTCATTCAACTCCCCAGAAGAAAGTAGTTTCAAATTATCAAGAGTTCCTTTTGTTCATTAATTCCATTTAAAGAAATGTGCTTATATTGCTATTTCACTTTTAGGCATTTTGTAGCCACTTGCTATGTTTTCTCTAAAGTTTAATTTTTTTTGAGAGAGGGAGAGGAAATAACCTCAACAGTTTATTTTACCCTTATCTTCCTTCCCAACTCCTGGCATTCCCAGTTATTTGGAGTCCTGGGCACATGTGTTCAGGTTGACCAGGAATCAGACCAATGGTCTTGTATAAGGGTCTTCCATATGGATCCAGCCTTGCTTAGCATTGTGTTACTGCTGGACTCATCCCGCGTTTTCTCTTATGGCAGATGATGATTTAGCATTGCCTTCTTCCTTTCCCTCTTCTTTCATATGCAATTACATAGCAATTTTTCATTAAATTAAATAATCAATGTTCACATTAATTTGAATATATAGGTACTATTAAGTACTGAATCGAGATTTGAACTCACAGTTTTTGTTTGTGTAACTTTTATTTTTCTCAAGCTCTATAATTGCTTTACATTTTTTAAAAAAAGAATTATTTTATTTAATGTTATCTATTTATTTATTTATCTTAATTTGATCAGAGAGGGATAGAGTAAGAAAGAGCAAGAGAGTCCAGGACTCAAACCGCAGTCAGCCATGTGGGAGTCCAGTACCCTTAACCGCCATGCCACCTGCTGGCCCCATATAATTGCTTTACCTTTTTGTTCCCTTAATGACGTATGTGCCTATTGTGAATTATCACTAAGCTCACTGACAAAACCAGGCAACCGCTTAGTAATATTTTCCACACGGTCAGATTCAGTAGCTGACCTCTCAGTTCCCTTTTTTATTAAAGACATTCCTTCTCTAATTCGCCCACGCTCCTGTTCTAGTATGTCCTGATTGTTCACTGGACCCACTGCACAGCTGTCACTCTGGACTTTCTGCATTGATCCTATGCTTGATCCGTGTCTAATCTGAGTTCCTTCTGCCTTCCAGACATCCATATGTTTAAGTCTCTTTCTTTTATGTAGGAGACTTTTCTTAACTCTGGTAATCCCTGACTATGAATTCATTTCAAAGTGAGTATTAAAGAGCTGATTAGAGCTCTACTATCTGTTGGCTTGTCAACTAGTTGAACACATGGAAAAGGGAGTAAATGATTATTATTTTTTTTAACTGGAGATTTCTTATGTATTTGAAGGTCTTTTCTCTGGGACTCTTCAGACTCTGTGGAAAATAACTCTCCAGTGTTTTTTCTTTGGATGGATAGGTATGAGAAACTCATAGGCCTGACTCCCACTGTTTGGGGAAGGTAGAGAGGGGTATTTGCTTGTGTAACTCTGTGCATGCATGCGTGTACACACACCCCACAGTTCAGAACTCAGATTCTTCTTTAAGGCCTTGCTTCAGTCTGGCACTCATTTCTGTCGTTCGTAAGGTCTGGGTCCTTGACTCTGGAGTCTCTCCAGTTCTCCTCTCTAGGCCTGATTCCCCTTTTCCTAGGCCTGATTCCCCTTTTCCGGCTGATGCTAGGACAGTAGGCCCTTGGCGGCCTAACGGCTCTCACCACAGACTTTCAAAGATGGTCCTGACTCTTAGCCCCATATCTCACTGTCCCCTACCTCTTTCCACATGTTTGATGCTTCCTATCTAGAGTCTTTCTGGAGTTTGTGGGCACCAAGGTTTTCATTTATTCCATTTTGTAAATTATTTACCATTCTGCTCATTTTCATCTAAAAATAAGTTGAAATCTTTCATCTGTTCTCATTCCTGTTCTCTTGCCTTATCAGGGCTACGCTTTAAACACATTTCTTTACTAATATTTTAGTAAGCCCTAAGAAGGGAGATGAGAAAAACCCATGTATTTAAACCACTATTTTTCAATATCCATTCTTAGAGTGATATTTGCCCTTTAAAAGAAGAATTTATTGGACCATTGCCATGGCCTCATGATTAAGGCAGATGGATCCCACATGGCCAACCGCATGGTTGGAATCCTGATCTTGCAGCTTGTGAAACATGCGCAGGTGTGTAGGTGCCCAAAATCACAAAAGGAAGAGATGGAGGGGAAGGGATTGTGAGGAGACCATTCTCCACAGAGGGTGCTTTCTCCTCTCCCTCCCTCTCAATCTGTCTCTCCCTGACGAGCACATATACCCTCTAGCAAAACAACAACAACAAAAACAAACAAAAAGAATGTAGTCATATTTTCTGAAGAGAAATAGTGTCTTGGTTAAGTATAAAATCCCACCATCCAAAAGCACCATGAGATGCCATATTTTTAAATCCCAGAGTTGAAGGGAACTTCTAATCCAAATGCCCACATAGTGCAGGGGTCTCTCCTCCCTCTTCCTTGCACAATGGATCTTCAACCTTTGCTAGCACTTGAGCAATGAAAGCGCTCATTAGTTTCAAAGAATTTCATAAATATGTCACTGTTCTTGACAGTAAAACCAAATTGTTCTTGTCCAAATAAAATTCTGAGAATTTCAATATTTAAAGGCACAATTTGATGAGGGAAGGTAAAAAGACTGGATAGAGAGCACAGGTGCCCAGCTTTACCACCACTGACTCACTGCGGTGCACAGAGCACCACAGACAGCACAGGGGCAAGTGAGAGCCGGGAGGGCACTGAGCGACTCCATGCCTCACGGAGGAAAATAACTGAACATGGGCCAAGGAGAGTCTGAGGAGGGGAACGGCAACCATCCTCATATGCTTTCTTTTTTTTTCTTTTCTCTTCTCTTCTCCTCTTTCTCTTCTCATATGCTTTCTTCATGCAAACTTGCCAAGAGACGCACAAGAAGCAGCACATAGATGCTTCGGTCAACTTCTTAGAGTTTTCTTAGCATTCAGAGAGGTGAAAAACCATGTCTGCTAAAGAGACAGGAGAATTTGAAGATATGGCAAAGGCAGACAAGCCTGTTGTCAAAGAGAAATTAAATCTTGTATCTGTCCTAAAGGGGAAACGAGAAAATAATTGAAGGATCCCAATACACCCAAAAGGTCTCTTTTGGCCTTTATCTTTTCTGTTCAGAATATTGCCCCCTAACAAAAGGAGAACATCCTAGCCTAACCATTGGTGAGGTTGCAAACAAACTGGGAGAGATGAGGAATAACACTGCTGCAGATGACAAGCAGCCTTATGACAAGAAGGCTGCTAAACTGAAGGAAAAAAATGAAAATAATATTGCTGCATACTGAAAGGAAAGCCTGATGGTGCAAAACGGAATTGTCAGAAGATCGAGAAGAAGCAAGAGGAGGGAGACAAGGAAGATGAAGAGGATGGAGATAAAGGAGATGATGATGAATAAATTGGTTTGAGTGCAGTTTTTCCTTGTCTATAAAGTTTCCTTGTCTATAAAATTTAATCTCCCTGTACGCAGTTCATTCCTTTTTTGGGACCTGAGGGGAGCTAGTAGAGAGGAGGGAACTAGCAGAGAGGAAGATTTGAAGATTCAGGAGAACAGAGAGAGGAGATAATTGATAGTTTACGAGGTGAGAGGAAAGAAGAATCAGATAAAAAAAATTAGTTTTTTTTTGATTTGCAACAGGGTGCATATCCTCACTGGGGAGAGAGGCAGAGAGTGAGAAATCACCCCCAAGGGGAGATGGCCATGCTGCAGTCCCTTTTACTCCATTCTCATCTTGGGATTTGGGGCATGCACGCACATACACCTGGCATGTTTTTCAAGCTGCCAGTTCGGGGACTTGAACCACAAAGTCAGCCGTGTAGGGTCTAGTGCCTTAACTACCATGTCACCTGGCTGGCCCACCACCACTCATTCCTTTTAAAGAAAAAAGTTGAATTGTAAAGCTGAGTAGGATTTGTTTTAAAATTATACAGCATCGTCGTCGTCGTCGTCTTTTTTTTTGTATAGTTATACTACCAAATCTGTCTTTAGATAGCCCCATCTTGGTGGTATTTTTAGTAGTCACTGACTTGGCCTGGTACAGTACAGTTGTAAATTAGCATGAAAGTTTAAAGCAGGTTTTTGTGGTGCACGGCGCACATTAACTGTATATTATATTGGGGTGGTAGTTTTTTCATCTTCAGCTGTCTTTGATGCAGCTTATATAAAATAAGTGTTCTTTTAAGTGAATACTACTCTGTAAATGCAAAAAAAAAGAGCTACGACTGTTTTGTGGACATTCCGAAAACATTTAAGTCATAATTTTAAACCTGGTATTGTCATTTTTCATAGGTCTGGAATTCTTCTTCTGGGGAAGTTAGTTTTTGCTTTTGCCTGTTTTGGATCATCTGAATTATTATCGTGTTTGTCTTTTCATATAGTTAGCAGATAAAGAGATTTTATCTACACACCTTGCACATCATGATGAGGGTAATAAACGTTAAATGGAGACAGTTTTCGCCCATGACTGAGATTTCAAACCTCTTATTGGTTGATAACAAATTTCACACAGCCCACTTACGTTTAGGAGGTGAAGAGTAGCCCGTCTACTCACAGCCTGCGATTATTAGAAGGAAACATTTTGAAACTCTGTCTTGGAAGGGCTAATAGGAAATTATGTTCCAATCTTTACATGATGGTTTTATATTCCATTACCGTGTAACAGCAGTTATATTTTGCAGTTCCCATGTTAAAAAAGACCTTCGGGGGCCAGCAAGTGGTGAGGTGGTTAAGGCGCTGGACTCTCACATGGCCAGCCATAGTTTAAATCCCAGACCTGGAGACTTGCTTTCTCACTTTCCATTTCTCTCTCTCTCTCTCTGGTGAGCATACGTGCCATGTAGCAAATTAAATAATAATAATAATGATAAAATAAATAAATAAGTAAATAAAAATAAAATGTGTTCCTTGTTGAAAATGGTGAATATGGAATTATCCTTATTGATTGTCTCACACTGCATGAATGCTTTGAAAATCCATATCTGTCCCATAGAGATGTACACCAATTAACTGTGAATAAGGAAATTTAAAATAAAAAAAGCACAAGTCCTTTATATTAAATTCACTGTTGAAATTGATCCCAGCAAAGGCTATTACAGTGATGACCGTAAATGTGTTTTCCCATTTATCTAAATGTTGACTGCTCAGGAAACTTGACTAGGCATTAAAAGTACTTTTAATTAATAGGGCCAGCTTTTAAAATAATGATGCCCCATTTAAAAATAAGAAAAAAATCCTCTATTGTAGTTTGACCCTTTATAAATCAGATGTGAGAAAAGACATAAACTTTGCATTTCAGTACAAATTATCTATTGATCATTTATTTGAGTTTAACTTTTCTTTTTTAAAAACTTATTTAATTTATTATTATTATTATTACATTAGCCACTAAATTAGATTAAATTTGCTGGCCCCAAATTAGATTTTTCTTTACAGAACCCAAACTTATTTATTAGAGTTATCTTTATGTGCTTCACAACTTGGGGAACAATTTGACAATTTTGTGGTTTGAGATTGTCATGCTCTTAAAGTGCCAATGTTTTAAAATAGTGTTCTTGTAATTTTACATGCTTTTGTGATGGAGTGCTGGTTTGTTTTATAATTTTTAATAGCTTCTCTCTCTCTTTTTTTTTTTTTGAGTGATTTTTAATTTTGCTATAGGGAGTGTATGCTTGCCTGAGAGACAGAGACCGAGAGAAAGAAAGTGAGAAATCACCCCCCAGGGGGGATGGCTATGCCACAATCCCTTCTCCTCCATTCTCCTCTCAGGATCTTGGGCACTCATGCACATGCACCTGGCATGAGTTTTTAAGTCGCCAGGTCCAGGATTCAAATCACAGTCTACTATGTGGTAATCTAGCGATGTAAGCATTATGCCATCTGCTGGTCCCATTAATAGCATTTGAAAATTTAGTTTTATTTACTATTATTATTATTCAATTTTGACAAGAGAGACAGAGAGAGAGAGAGAGAGCGAGAAAGGAAGCCACCAGGTCTGGAACTCGAACCACTGTCAGCCATGTGGGAGTCTAGCACCTTAATCACCATGCCACCTGCTAGACCCTTGTTCTATCATTTTTATTTTGATTTTTATCCATTTGCATTTGTTTATACAGTTTCAGGAGGAATACTGAACATCTCAGTCCTGGATGATACTAATAAACTAATAATCTCAGAGGTTTAAAACAAATTAAAACCACTGCCTCTCAGTGCTGATAATTCCTTTGCTGACTTCACACTTGTCAAATTGAGAATTGTATGGTTGCTAGTAGATAGTAAATAATTTAAAATTGCTGGGAACCAGCAGTTAGCGTAATGGCTATGTCGCTGGACTCCCACGTGGTCGACCGTGGTTCGTATCCCGGACCCGGTGGCTGAAGACTCACGCCGGGCGCGTGTGCGTGCGTGCCCAAGATCCCGAGAGGAGAATGGAGGAGAAGGGATTGCGGCGTGACCATCCCCGCTGGGGGGGTGATTTCTTGCTTTCTGTCTCTATGTCTCTCTCTGTCTGTCCGGCAAGTGCACTCATCCTATAGCAAAAGAAAACCTCTCAAAAAAAAAAAAAAAGAAAAAAAAGACTCCCAAAAAAAAAAAAAAAAAGAAAAAATTCTAAAAAATTGCTGCTACATGTTCATTTTTGTTGCAATGTCCTAGCAGAAAGGCGACTTCAGCATCAGGGCTATTTTCCCAGCCACCTTCCTTACAATAATCCATCTACTTCTGAATGGCGAAGGTGAGAGACACTGTGTTCTTTCTGTAACAAAGAGATCTACATTTATTTCTTGCCTATAGGAATTCATCATTCACGAATACTTTTCTTTTCTGTTTCTCTAATTTGGGGATTTTTCTGTCTCCCTAAGTTTGCCTTTTCTAAAGTGTCATGTGATTAGAATCACACAGTAGGTAGCCTTTTCATAATGGCTTATTTAACTTAGTAATGTGCATTTAAGATTCCTTTGTACTTTTTCATGGTTTGACAGCTTGTTTCCTTTTAGTGCTGAATAATATTTCATTGTCTGAATGTACCACAACTGAACTGTATATTTTTGTGATTGTCTTTACAGGAGCTAACGCATCAGAACTATTAGGTATCCCATATATTATCCTTTGTACTATTGTGATTTTGATCATCATGGGATTCATGATTTGTTTTTTGAAAACCAGTGGCTGCAGGTATTGACTGATTAATATTTCTTCTTCAGATTTGTTTGGACTAGAAAGAAAAATAAAAACAGAAATAAAGAATTCACTGGGTAAAACCAGGATGTTAAAATCACTTCTATAATCAGTAGGACTATCTTACAGGTGTTACTTGGACCACCTTCAATGATGATAGTGGTTTTGTTAGGCTCTTGGACATGCAACGTGATAAATTAGGCCATTTAGGGCAGGATCTTGGGAGAGAGAGTGCATGATAATTTTCTGCTTGAGAAAGGAATTAAAAAATTCCTTTTGTGTGCCAAGCAGGCGCCACATATTTACTATTATATCAAGCTCCTCTTGAATAATCTTACTTCCTTTTTCCCAATCCAGAATAATCTTATTTGGGTATTTTAACTACAAGCAACATTCTTCACTCACATCTGGTGGTTCATTTCTGATTTACTGTGACTTCAATAGAAATGAACTACAATTGCTAATGGCATCATGGTTTATTTTGTTTTGTTTTAAATCTAAATAATGATACTTCCTGCATTCACTCCAGGTTATTCATGTTTTTACAGATTATGTAAATTGAAAAAAACAGAAGTGACTTCAGTTGTTGAAGAGGTAAGATAAAAAAGAATATTTGCAAATTTTAAGCCACATTGTCTGAAAATCTAACCAAATAACTTTTTTTAGAGAGCTTTTTTTTTTTTTTTTTTTTGCTGTAGGGCGTATGTACTTGCCAGAGAAACAGAGAGAGATAGAGAGACAGAAAGTGAGAAATCACCCCTCCCACCCCAGAAGGGGGTTTCCACACTGCAAACCCTTCTACTCCATTCTTCTCTCAGGATTTTGGGCATGCATGCACATGTACCCCAGCATGCGTTTCAAGCCACCATATCCTGGACTCGAACCCTGGTTGACTATGGTCTAGCATCTAACCGAATCATTTGTAATTTCCATCAATAGTAGTGTTTAGGTGAGAAGTAAAGTTCTGGTTTGACAAGGCTAGTGGTAGAGAGTGCTTTCTTTGTTACTTATCTACCAAGTATTATTTATACAGTACCCAAATTCACATTTCTATTTCATGAACCATCACCTACAAAACACATAATGTTGGCCTCACTTGGACAGTAATCTTTGGAGAAAGTGAATTGGTTTTGTTTCCTCCCCTGTGATTTTTTTTTTAAGTTTATTTGTTCTTTCTCTCATAAACTGGAGAGATGGAAAGAGAACGAGGCATAAGCATCTCTAATATGGCCTCCACACCATGATCCACTCCCAGCCCCAGCCAGCCCTGGATTATGGGCGCTCAGGGAGGTTTCTGGACATGAACCTAGAACCATCACATGTTGGTCAACCTTGCGAGTGCTATGCCACCATCTAGACTCTCGTTTCTAATTCTTGATTTCCCTTTTTTCAATGGTGATACCTCCACCTTTCCCTCCCTCTTACCCGCCCTTAAAACCTATAGTGCTCCAAATCTCTTATAACCAGTAGTCTACTACGTCTTTGGTTCTTTCCTTCGAAATATTTCTCATATTACTTTATTCTTCTGCATTCCTCCTTTGCCAAAAGCTTTATCATCTCACACCGAGACTTGAGTAATCAATACATTTTTTGATAAACTATTAGAATCAAGCTTTGTTCTTGGGTTTATGTAAACTCAGAGACACAGATCTGAGCCCTTTTGGTAGATACAAAAACTGTGAGCAGCTGTTAGAAAAACAGGTGGTTTCCAGCTTTATTTGAACTGGCATTAACTTTGAATTTGTTTTCTTAGGATGAAATGCAGCCTTATGCCAGCTACACAGAGAGGAACAACCCACTGTATGATACCACAAACAAGGTGAAAATGTCTCAGGGCTTACAGAGTGCAGTTGATGGAGTGAGTCTCTGGACTTGATAAATTATTGAAATTTAGCACCAAGAGGACTAAATGAAGATATAGGACAATGACTGTTTTGATTTTATAGACTGGGAGACTCACTTAGAAATGAGTTCTTTGAAGATTCTTAGAAGACAAAGACAATCTAATGATTTTGCACTCATTTCTTTATATGATTGGAATTTCCGAATCACAGCTGCTACAAGCTAGTTCTCTGGAGAACTGATAGTTATTGCAAAGGAAGCACATGCTCATGATAAATATTCAAACTACTGTATAGTAAATAATGAAGATGAAATATTTTCAAGAAATAACTCTGAAGAAGGAACAATCATCAGTGGTTTCTTGTGTATTCTTGCAAAAATCTTCTGTCATAGGCAGATAGTACTTGTGTGTGTTTTGATGTCTATTTGCATATACATACACATCCTTATCATATCAAGACACAGGTGGGAGCATATCTTAACGTGGTTACATACTTATAAAAAGCTAACAATATGAAATGACTTGGAGATCTTTACATATCAATACAAGCAGACTACCTCATTCTCTTATAGTGTCTACATAAAATTCCACTGTATGGTTGCATCTCAGTTTTATTAAACACAGTCCTGGTGATGGACATCTTGATGGTTTTGAGTTTTGTTTGTCTTACAACTGTACATGATATCGGATAGAATGTTTCTTGTGGATCTATTGCTTTGTATTTATTAGAGTATAAGTTAGGTAACGTTAGGAACATTTTATTAAGTGGAATTGCTCTGCCAAAGAGTTCGTGCATTCTTCTTACTGATAAATATGTTAAATTGTATCACTTATGGTCTGTCCTCTTACTGTTTAAGTATCTTTCTCTATATTACTATTTTAATAGCTGTAAGATTTATACCTCCCCCATCCCAATCTCCCCTTTTTAATCAACCAGTTAGCTAATAAAATGTAAGATTATAGTAAGAGTTATACTATTTAATAAAACTAGATTTATGTATTTCTGTCGTGTTTATGGTGGATGGAGGCGGGACACATACGCGAGGATGTCAGTTTTTTCTGGACTCACCATGTCTGTATAGAGCTATTGATACCTAATGCCTAATGGTTTTGCAAGTGTGATAAATTATAAATGTATATTTTTATAGCATGTATTCCGTTGCGATGTATTTGTCAAGTAACAAATTTTATTGACTATGCAAGCAGCTAAATATGCATTATGGAGGACTTGGAGTATGTATGAAATATGGCTATGACCTAAGAGATTGACCATGGGATGACATTTTTTTCATGGGGTAGAATTTAGGGACTATGTATATTAATACTTTTTAATTTATAAAATATTTTACATAATAATTATTTAAAATATCTGTTCATACTATATCAGAAGGAACATTGAAAGTCTTTTATCATGATAGAAATTAAAGCAAAATTAATTAGTTCTTATGCCATTTGACATTTAAGATGGCTATTTTGTCGTATTCATGTTTTCCTTCCTTTAGACACTTTAGTTACCCTAGCTTTAATCTTTAAAGAGATTTTAAGTCTATTTTGGATGTAAAATTAATACAATGACACTTGGTACATTATATTTATGTGTATATATATATATGTTTGTTTTTCACCCAGAGGATGTGTGTGCTTGCCAGAGAGAGTAAGAGAGAATGTACTCCCACTGGAGCATGGTCATTCCTGAACCCTTCTCCGTTTCTCCATTCTGGCAGTGTGTTTGGGGCGTGTACACAAATGGACTGATGTTTTTTTTTTTTTGGAGAGGTTTTTGCTATAGGTCACGTGCGCTAGCCAGGCAGACAGAGAGAGACATAGAGACAGAAAGCAAGGAATCGCCCCCCAGGGGGGATGGCCATACCGCAATCCCTTCTCCTCCATTCTCCTCTCTGGATCTTGGGCACACACACACACGCGCCAGGCGTGAGATTTAAGCCACCAGGTCCGGTATTCGAACCGCGGTCGACTACGTGGGAATCCAGCGACATAGCCATTACGCTAACTGCTGATTCCCAGGACGGATGTGTTTTCAAGCTGCCAGGGCTGAGGTTTGAATTGTGATCCACCTCGTGAACTTTTTTCCACTGCAGAGCACTTAAGCGTTACGCTACAAGGTCAGCCTTGGTGCATGATAGTTTGACCAAATCATTTGACACCATTTTTACTTGGCTAAAACAAACCCAGTCTACTAAGTTTTGCTTATAAATGCTATCAAGCAGTGTGTATAATAAACTTCTTGCTGTTTTTAGGATGCTCGCTTTATCTTTTACTTTTGACAGTTTGACTACACTATGGTGCAGGGAGAAACTTTTTGCTTTAAACCTCGTTGGCGACCTTCATGTTTCCTGAATCTGGAGACCTGTATTTCTTCCTAGAGTTGAGCATGTTTGACTCTTAGGACATGAAACAGGGTTTCTATGCCTTTTTTTAAAAAGCTCTTCTTTTGAAACTCCTATAGTGCAACTATTCATTCAGTTATGGCATCTTGTAAATCCAGGCACTTTCTTTATTTTTCTATTATTTTTTCTTTTTCTTTTTGGCCTGTTTATTTATAAAACTCTCTATTCAAGTTCAGATGTTATTTTCCTGCCTGATAGAGCTTATTGATGACGCTCTCAACTGTATTTTTTATTTACTCTTTTTATCTAGGATTATTATTTTTAAATTTTTAAAACTATTTATTTATTTTTACATTTTCCCACAAACATTTCCTTTACATTTCAAAAAATGTTTTGCTCATATTCCATAGTTGACAGCTAATAAACAACTTTCAAAATTTCAAAAACCTGAATTTTAAAGATCACTTTCAAAATATTTGTTATAATTTTGTTTGTGACTCTGTAACAACAGAGTATGCTTTTAATTATTTTTGAGAAAATATTTACATGTCAACTATTCAGACTGTTGAAAAGCAAATACCCAGCACACAATTCACACATGAACCTTCTCAGTTCAGCCCTGTCTACCAGGTATTCTGTGATACACCTTCTGCTAGCAAAGATCAGTCTCTTTTCCTATTTTTTTAAAAAAATTTTATTTATTCATTCACTCATTTATTTTAATTTGACCAGAGAAACAGACAGAGAGAGAGACAGAGAGAGAGGGAAAGTGAGAAAGCAAGCCACCAGGTCCAGGTCTTGAACTGTGGTTGGCTTTGTGGGAATGTCTAGTGCCTTAACCACCATGCCACCTGCTGGCCCCAGATCAGTCTCTTTTTCTTCCTTCAAAGTTTTCCTCAAGGTAATCCTCTGGTTGTGGCTGCTCTTTTGCAATCTCTACTGATTATAATGCAGGACTAGAAAAGTCCAGGTTATTTTATGATATTAATTCTTTCATATGGCTTCTCTAATCCTCTCTGCCAGGGAGACCTATTTATAATGCCAGGCCATCTTTCTAAGAGCTTCGTTGACTTACTTGAGATCCACCTTAGTTCCATAGTTTTCTGGTTATCTCTTCAGATATGACATTCTAGTAATGAGGATTATTGATTTGTTCTTGTTTATTATCCCTATCTCTGTAAATTTCGGGTTAGTATCATATTTCATTCATGTATTTTTCTGATTTCATTAAATTATTTATCTTAATTCTCTTGCAATTCTTTGAGTTTCCTTAAGATCATTCATTTAAATTCATTTTCAAACATCTGTTGGTTTTTCTTATTTTTGAAATCTCTTATTGGGAAATTACTGTATTCTTTTGGAGGAGTTATGTTTCCTTGTTTTCTCATGTTCCCAGTTTCTGTGTTGGTTTCTGGGGATCTGGTGGAATAATCACCTCTTTTGTTTTTATGGAGTATCTTTTATAGGGAAGAACCCTTCCTGTAGAGGGGACCTATGGTGTTGGTTGAGTAGTGTTTTTGACTCTCCTTCTGTTGGTTTCATCAGTGTAGACTCTAAATATTCTTCAGCTAGAATCTCTGACAACATTGTCTGTGAGGGCCCCTGTGGTTGAGACTGTACATGTGGAATACCATGGTGTGACTCTGCTGGAGGGTGTGGGACACTGGAGGTAGGGACCAGGATCCTCTGATCAGGGATGGAAGATTTGTACCGTGTTAGGTCCCCAGTGCTGAAGAGGCCACATCTTCAGGGGCTGTGGCTGTAGCTGGTGCCAGCTGTGGGAGAACTAGTGACTCAGTGGTGTGTGTGTGGAGGGTGGAGATCCTGTCACTTGAGGTGAGGTCACAGCCAGCAGCAGTGTAGCACACATACTAGTGTCCTCAGGCCTTATGGGAGGCACAGGCATTGAGTCAGGGTCCTGCTGATCCGGGGGAGGAGCCACCAGGTGGCAACAAGGATGCCTGGGCCAGTCTTCAGACACTAAGGGCATGGTATGTGGATTGCTTCCTTTCTGCGAGGAAAGGGAGACACCTGGATTCTTTGTCTCTTGAGGGGGATGTTGTCTGGGGTTCTCATTCTCTGGGGTGAATATATGGAGTCTCGGTTCTGGGGGGATTGGCTAGAAGACTCTCAGTCTCTGGGAGACATCTGCCACTATTCCTCCCCGTCCCAGGGGTGTCCTGCCCACTCTGGTGCACTACTCATCCCCCAGAGTGCAGGGTACTGTGAGAGCTCAGGTGCCAGGGTCACTGCGTAGCACTTGACTCAGCTGCTAACTAGGCCCTGTGCTTTTTCTGTAGGAAAGGTGGGGTGACAGCAGGGCCTTAGGGACGTGGAGGTACAGTGTCATTGACCCCTCAGGCAAGATGCACTTTGGTTGTGACTCTGCTTTCCAAATGGCTCTGTGTTATAGAAGCTTGAGAGTTTTGGACTTTCTCCACGGAGGGGAGGCATGCTGCATATCTTCAGGTGGTCACCTTCCTGTCTCAAAATAGTTTTGAGTAGAGTAGGTACTTTGAATTTCCATATAACGTATGAATCTTAGAATCAGTTTGTCAATTCCTGCAAAAGTCTGCTTGGCTTTTGATTGGACTGTCGTGAAACGTGTTATCAAATTGAGGAGAATTCGTATCTTAGCAATAATGAGTTCCACTAGCAGTGCCCAAGGGTTCCAGTTTCTCCACATCCTCACAAACATTTATTTTCTGTTTTCTTGATAATCGCCATCCTAGTAGATATGAAGTGTTGTGCTTTTGATTTGCATTTCCTTGATGATTAATGATGTCCGTCATCTTTTCACGTCCTTACTGACTACTTGTATGTCTTCTTCGGGGAAATGTTTACTCAAGTCCTTTGGCCATTTAAACACTGGGTTGATCATTTCTCTGTTGCCTGTTAGAAGAGCAAAATGCCCCAGGTTCCTCCTTTACTGCTTCATATCTGGAATAAACCATTTCTCCAAGGGTGCGGTTCCTTTTGGTGGAAGACAGTGTAAGAGGCACAGTTTGGATCCCAGGTGTGCTCACTATTACTGTGGTAAAATTGCTTTTAGGAGATGCTTTCTCTTAGTCATTGTTTATCTAGGATATCTTTTTTTTCATCTTTTTAATCTCTCTCTCTTCTGTGTCCCTAAAAATTAGGTTAGGGTTTTGTTAAATATCATATAAGTTTGTTTTAAAGAAGAATTCTGGCAGGGCCAACAATGTGGCTTGGTGGTGAAGATGCTGGATCCCACATGGCTGACTTTGCAGTATGAGTTCCAGATTTGGCGGTTTGCAAACCATGTAGGCATGTGTGTGCTCAAAATTCCAAGAAAATTGCAGCATGGCCATCTACCCTGGGGAGTTATTTCTCAATTTCCCCCTTTCTGTCTCTCTCTCTGGCAAGCACATGTGCCCTATGGCAAAAATCTAAACAACCACCCCCCCTCCAAAAAAAACCAAATATGATCATCTTGGTATTTATTTTTATAGTTACATATTTAAATATTAGTATATTTTGTATTCATTAAGATTATTCTGAACATACTCTTTTTCTTTTCTTGCCTTTTTTGGACTTGCAGAGCTTTTAGAATTCTAATTTTATTGTACTGAAAATTATACATTTGACTTCTATTCTTTTGAGATTATCATTTAAAGTTTAAAATTCATTCTTAAAATCTAAAGTTAATCAATATTACTCTACCTAAACAATTAGATTGCCTTAGAATATGTTACTTCTAACTATTTCCTCTTTCAGTTTTGTTTTGTTTTTTTTCCAATAAGGAAACACCTACACAAAGTTTTTATTTGTTCAAAGTAACCAGTGGTTATTGGGATGCAACCCTCCACCCCATTCCCTAATACTACTTTCAAAACAAACGTAAAACTTGATTTTTCCATTAGAATGTAGTTATTTCTCCACACTAGTAAATAAAAATCCAAGACCCAGATTTTATAAACATATATAAATATATATAAATACCAATGCAAACAATGATTGAGTTTCATCTTCTGGACAAGAATGCCAAGTTAGTCTCTCTTCATAAAAAGCAATTACAAATTGAGGACACTTCGTATTTGCTTCTTTTGCCAGTACCACGATGAGGCAGCTCATCTGAGTCTGTCAGGCAGCTCATCTGAGTCTGTCAGGCAGTTCATCTGAGTCTGTCCATCTCATGAGAAACATCCACTCCCCACTGCTGTCTGTGGCTCCAATTATTCATTCAGGACCAACACCTCTGGCAAAGCCTCTTGGTTTATCAGCAGCATCTCTCTTCTTTGATTTGCTATCATCAGATTCACTGTCAGATAAAGATTTTCTCTTTGTACCATCTTTCTCTTTAACAGCTTTCTGAGAATTAAGAAGTGCTTCAATTAACTCTGGACGATCTAAATTTTCTTCTGGTTCCCAAGGATTGTCAGCATCTGTAAATCCCTTCCACTTCAGGAAATACTCCACCTTCCCATTGGCTACGCA